GCGCCTGGGGGGCCCCGATAGGCTTCCAGGGGGCCCCGAAGTGAATCCTAAGAGACCCCCAAAACGCCACAAGATGCCCCCCCGCAGCACTCAAAACGCTGTGAGAGGCTTCCAGAACAGTCAAGAGGCCGCCATGACGCTCCAAGAGAACCCACGTAAACTTTCCAGGGACATCCGAAAAGTCATCGGGATGCATACATGAGGCCATTGGCCATTCTGGTCGCCTCCTCCTCCTCCTCCTTCCTCGCCTGTCCCTCTGTTTTTCCCTTGCCCCCACTCCCCCCCTCAACTCGGAAATTTTGTCGGGGGGGGTCAGAACTACTTCTGCTTTTAATTGTGGCGCCCAGAACACCGCGCAAACAACAGAGAAAAACAACACAAAATGCGTTTTTCGGGGGTCCGCACCCGGAGACTCCGGGAGCCGGGGCCGGCCGGAAAACTTTGAAAAAAAACGCCGAACACCCCCGCGGTTAGGACCTAGAGGTCCCCCTCCTCGGGTAATCCTGGAGCCTGGGCCGGCAGGAAAACCGCGGGAAAAAAACCAAAGAAACACCTCCGAGGTCGGGAGTTTCTCGGGAGTTGTGCGAGCATGTTCAAACATTTGCTTGTTTTTCTTATTTGTCACCGTGGTGCTTCAGAACCTCAGAACAAGTTTTCCACAAAAACTCGGAGTCGATGTTTTTTTGTCCGAGGGCGCCCCCTCCCCCCCGGAAAATCCGGGAGCCTGGGTTGGCGGGGGGACCTCCGAAAACCCACCGGAAACCATCCGACTTACATATTTGTCTTTAGTTTTCCCTCCTCGGAGGACGCTGGAGCCTGGGCTGGCCAGAGAACCTTTCTGAAGAAATACCAGAAAAAAAACCATAGAGTTTGGGTTTTGTTTCGGATGTGTTTTGAGAGGTTGTTATCAATCGTCTTGGTTTAAAGCTGAGTTTCCCAAGAAGTGGTGCAGACATAGTCTTGCTTGAAGAGTAGGGCCCCAAAACTCCCGAAACACCCTGAGTTGGAGGATGAACTATTCACGAGTTTCTTTCTGGCTCCCGTTTCTGTTTTTTGCTGTTTTGCAGTTCTTTTCCCCAGGTACTGGGGGCGGGGGAAGCTTTGGGCATTCGGGGGTGACTTGCGGAACCCGAAATTTTGAAACATCATTTGTTTCATCATTATTTTAGCATTTAGGAAAGCAGCATCTACATCTACATCGACAGCTACATTTACATCAACACCTGCATTTGCATCTAGATCAACATCAACAGCGAGGCTCACACCTACATCAGCATCTACACCTACATATACACCTACATCTACATCTACATCTACACCTACACCTACATCCGCATCTACACCTACACCCACATCTACATCTACATCTACATCTACACTTTCGCATTGGTGTTGCGTTTGGTTTGCATTGCCTGTGTTGTTGTTTTTGCCTTTGCTTGTGCCTTTGCCTTTGCGTTTGCGTTTGTTTTTGTTTTTGATGTTGGTTTTGATTTGTTGTTGTGTCTGGTGTTGCTAAGCTGCGCTATGCTAGGCTATGCTACGCTATGCTATGCTATGCTATGCAATGCTATGCGATGCTGAGCTATGCTATACTATGCTATGCTTGGCTATGCTATGCTGTGCTAATGCTGCGCTGCGCTAAGCTAAGTTGATCTAAGTTAAGTTAACTTATGTTAAGCTGAGCTAGGCTACGCTAAGCTACGCCAAACTAGGCTAGTCTAAGCTAAGCTCAGCTAAGCCAAGCTAAGCACAGCTAGGCTAAGCTAGGGTAAGCTAAGCTAAGCTAGGCTAGGCAAAGCTAAGCTAAGATGAGATGAGATAAACTAAGCTAAGCTAAGCTAAGCTAAGCTAAGCTGAGTCAACCCAGGGGGCGTATCTAGGGGAACCGCGGGGCGGATGCCGGGGGAACTGCCCGGGGCGAGTTCCACTGCCGGGCCCCTTTAAGCACAGAGAGCAAGAACCCTTCTAGGCAGAGCCTGGGTAGGGACAAAAATCAAAAAGCCGTGGAAACAAAAGGACAAATAACATAACGAACCCGAGCTGGGAGGTGTTTTTTTTCTCTGGGGTTTCCCTGGGGGGTCCAGACATCGTTTGTTTTCACTGGCGGCCCCCCCGGACCCCCGACAAAAAATGCGAAAAAACAACCTGTTGGAAAGTCACTCGGGGGGTTCCAGGGGCCCTTCTGACATATTTTTGGTTTTAATGCTGGGGCCCCAGAGCCCTCGACGAAAACAAGAAAAACCGAGCGTTGCGTTGTTATGATCTTGTCTGTTCCTTTCTTCTTGGGTTTTAGACCTGGGAACAAAAACATAACACATACAGGAGAAAACATCCGAACAACCCCCGAGTTGGGAAATTTCCCGAAACGTTTCTGACATTTTTTTGTTTTAATGGGGATCCAGAACACAACAAACTTGGGTTTCTTTTCGGGTGGTTTCCCCGGAGGGGGTTCTCAAATAATATTGTGTTTTAAATGAGGTGCCCCAGAACCGCCGAAGACACAAGAAACATCCCTAGTAAAAAGGTAACAACAACATCGGGAAATCCCAGAACAACTTGCGAAAAACTGCAGGAACAAAACAACAACAAAAATATGTGTTTTTTTGGGGGGGGGGGTCCCGGAAATTTTCTGGAATAGTTGTGTTTTTCATTGTGGGGCCCCAGAATCCCCGAGCCCCCCCCCAAAAAGGAACCGGGACATGTTTCGAAGGTTCCCCTACAGGAAGCCCCTGAAAGAAACCCCGAAACCCAGTGAACAACACAGAGTGTTTTTGTTGCTTCCTTCTCGGGGGTTTCCGATAGGTTTTCTGACAAAACACTCAATGTTTAATTGTGGGCCCAGAACTCTTGAATTACCCAGGGACGTACCCAACCCTTTTGCAACAGGTGGCATTATCAACTGGCGCTTTCAAAATAGCTGAACATCCGCTGGACGTCCAAGAGGCCCACGACAGCGACGACCATTGCATTCTTGGCAATCGCCGCGCTTGAGGGTCAAGCGCGGCGACTGCCAAGAAAAGACGAGAAGGCCAACATCCTTCAAACACAATCGTAAAATTCGTGGTTTGGGCCTCTCGGGGCCCTCCCATGAAGCCTTTTGGAGGCCTCTTGGAGCGTCTTGGAAGCCTCTTGGGCCGTCTGGGGCCCACCTTGAACGTCCTGGAGCGATCGTTCGGCGTCTCAGGAGCCCACGAAGGTGCCGACAGTTGCGCAGTTGGCAGCTCCCCCCGCAGGGAGCCGCGAGGTCCCGACGCGATCCGCGTGTCTCCCCACTCCGCTGGGCCTCCCAGGAGCCCACGAAAGTGCCGACAGTTGCGCAGTTGGCAGCTCCCCCCGCAGGGAGCCGCAAGGTCCCGACGCGATCTGCGTGTCCCCCTACTCCGCTGGGCCTCCCAGGAGCCCACGAAAGTGCCAACAGTTGAGCAGTTGGCAGCTCCCCCCGCAGGGAGCCGCGAGGTCCCGACGCGATCTGCGTGTCCCCCCACTCCGCTGGGCCTCCCAGGAGCCCACGAAAGTGCCGACAGTTGCGCAGTTGGCAGCTCCCCCCGCAGGAGCCGCGAGGTCCCGACGCGATCCGCGTGTAACCCCACTCCGCTGGGCCTCCCAGGAGCCCACGAAAGTGCCGACAGTTGCGCAGTTGGCAGCTCCCCCCGCAGGGAGCCGCGAGGTCCCGACGCGATCTGCGTGTCCCCCCACTCCGCTGGGCCTCCCAGGAGCCCACGAAAGTGCCGACAGTTGCGCAGTTGGCAGCTCCCCCGCAGGGAGCCGCGAGGTCCCGACGCGATCTGCGTGTCACCCCCACTCCGCTGGGCCTCCCAGGAGCCCACGAAAGTGCCGACAGTTGCGCAGTTGGCAGCTCCCCCCGCAGGGAGCCGCGAGGTCCCGACGCGATCCGCGTGTCACCCCCACTCCGCTGGGCCTCCCAGGAGCCCACGAAAGTGCCGACAGTTGCGCAAGTTGGCAGCTCCCCCCGCAGGGAGCCGCGAGGTCCCGCGCGATCCGCGTGTCACCCCCACTCCGCTGGGCCTCCCAGGAGCCCACGAAAGGTTGCGCAGTCAGCTCCCCCCGCAGCCGCGAGCCGCGAGGTCCCCCACGAAAGTGCCGACATCTGCGTTCACCCCCTCCGCTGGGCCTCCCAGGAGCCCACGAAAGTGCCGACAGTTGCGCAGTTGGCAGCTCCCCCCGCAGGGAGCCGCGAGGTCCCGACGCGATCTGCGTGTCCCCCCACTCCGCTGGGCCTCCCAGGAGCCCACGAAAGTGCCGACAGTTGCGCAGTTGGCAGCTCCCCCCGCAGGGAGCCGCGAGATCCCGACGCGATCTGCGTGTCACCCCCACTCCGCTGGGCCTCCCAGGAGCCCACGAGACTGCGGACAGTTGCGCAGATCGCAGTCCCCCAGAGGGCGCCGCGGGGAGGTAGGAGGCAGGAGGGAGGTGGGCGGGAGGACGGAGCTACCAGAGTGCTCTATTCAAAACGAGTACCCAACCAAGGGAGGGTTGGGAAAAAACGCAGCGAAAAACCACACTCGGGGATCTTCTGACCCGGGTCAGCAGGAAACCAAAAACTGCAGTGCAAGAAAAAAAAACTGCACCGCAGGTCTTCGCAGACCCAGGTCAGCCAATACGCGCGGCCGCCTCGCGGCCACGAGCGGCTCCCTAACCCGGGTCAGCCAGAGGGGGTCTTCGCAGGATCCTGCAAGATCTGGCGCCCTGGCTGACCCCCGTCTGTATTGACCCCCGTCTCAAGGCTCCCGACACACAATGTTTTTTGTTGTTCCGGGGTCCCCCCCGGGAAAATCCCTGGGTCCCCCTCCGGAACACGCCCGAACAAAAACCCTCAGAAAAATTCCCCCATGGGGGTTCCCCCGGATTCGACGGACTGCCACTTCCAATTGACGGCGACGGCGGCGACCTCGACGACGGCAGCGACGACGGCGGCGGCGACCTCGGCCACGTCGGCGACGGCGGCGGCGTTTGGCGACGGTGGCGGCGGGCCAGTGCGCCTCGACTCCTCCGCAGCCTTCTTGCGTTTCTTGGGCGCCTTCGCGCGGCCCTTCGCCTCCGGGCGCACGCCGCGGGGGCGCGCGGGAGGGGCGCACTGCGGGCGGCAGCGGCAGGCGACGCTGGAGGCGGGCGGGCGGGCGGCGGCAAGAGACAAGGGGGGGGTGCAAGCTAGGTGCGCTCGCGCCACGTGTGACATCCTATACCTCTCCCTCCCAGCCCTTCCCACTGCGCTGACTGGTCGTCCTCGCGCCGAAATGGGTGTCGCATCTGATCTCCATGCCTTGGATGGGGGAGGGAGGGAGGAGGCGGAGGAGGAGGAGGGGGAGGGAGGGAGGAACGGAGGGACGTTCCTGAGGATCTCTAGGTCACCCACCTTCGCGCATCGGGCCCCGCGATGCGTGCTCATCTTCGCGCCATCGCGTGGCCTTTGGGATCCAGGCGCTCACCGCGGTGTTCGCGGTGTGGGGGAGGAGGCGGCGGCGGCAAAAGCCAAATGTGAGACGTCGGGGCCAATTAGGGCCGTACATAAAGTCACCTACTGTACCTTCGAGCGTCGCGCCCCACGATGCGCGACCAACTTCGCGCCTTGGCGCCGCCCCCTTGGAGGCCCTGGCCGCGACGTGCGAACCGCGACTCTCTTCGGCACCCCCGTGGGCGACCAACAGGGCCTGGGGGCAGGACGGGAGGCTTTCGGTTCGGACTCGGGGAAACGTCAAACTCGACTCCTTTGGGGGGCTCGGATGTGCCCGACTGTACACCATGGTAAACACGGCAAGACCGATCCTGGAATTTGACGCGGACTCCGCTGCAAACATCTCACGAAAACTGGACTGTCGGAATGCACGCCGGAGCCGTCAGACAGCGGTGGATCAAACTCTTCCTGGACTCGGGTGAGGAACGCGTTCGCACTCTAATCGGCGGATTGGCTGGAGCTAAACTTGACAGAGTGCCGAGGCCAAACAAATATTGCGGCGAATCCACGCTGCGGTAACGGGTGGGTCAACTGGGGATTTCCGAGTCATCACCCGCTCCCGCTTATTCATCCCGCCCGCCCACCCCTACGTTCGCGACTCCGCGCAACGATGCCGACTAGCAGCGGCAAGGAATTGCACCGTGGACACGACCTAGGCGGGAAGGAAAGGGGGTGGTGAGAAAGAGCTCCCGAGCGATTGAATGCACGCCCGATCGAACAGAACCGCGACAGCGAAACGACATGGAGGGCTACGCTTCGGAGACGCAGTGGCCGCTCATAATTGCAGCGGCGTGACCTGCCGGAACCCCGCGCAACCTTGGCCCTGCGAGGCCACCCTCCGGCGCCGCGAGGAAGAACCTGGCGAAGAAGACAGCCCTCCAGAACCGCGAAGAGAGGAGGACGGCGACGTTGAGGAGGAGGAAGAGGAGGGGGAGGAGGAGGAGGAGGAGGAGGAGGAGGAGGAGGAGGAGGAGGAGGAGGAGGAGCAAGCAAACAAACAATCACCCATGGAGTCCTAGTTCAAAGCCGCGGTCTGACATGAAAACATGAATTTTGCGAGCTCTGGGGGGGGCATTTCATTGAGAGAGCGTGATCCACCGCCGCCTTACTATGGAAAATTCCCCCCCCCCCCCCCCCCCTTTTCCGGGAACCCGAGTCCCCAAAATCCCCCCTGTTGGCCCTCCCCACCCCCCTCCCCCGGCAACCCACCCCCCCTCCCTACCCCCTCCCACCCTCCCCCTCGAAAAAGGGGGGGGGGTCTCGACCCACCCCCGCTCGAACAAAAGGGGGAGGGGGTCGCTACCGGTTCGAGACCCCCCCCCTCACCGCCAGCAAGCGACTCCAGGTCCCTTCCACGGTCCGCACCACATCCCCCACTGTTGTTCCCAGCGCCACTGTCCTCACCACCGCTGTCCCCGCTGGTTCCAGCACCGTCCCTACTGTCCCCACCAGTGCCCCCACCACTGTCTCTCTGTCCCCACTGTCCCCATCATTGTTCTCTCCCTACTTTCTCCACGGCCCCAACCACTGCCCGACTATCCCCACTGTCGCCACTGTCCCACTGATTCCTCCGCTGTCCCACTGAGCTGTCCCACTGTTCCCACCACTGTCCCCACTGTCCCCACCACTGTCCCCACTGTGCCTCTGTCCCATTGTGTCCCACCGCCGTCCTCGCCACCGCCTTAACCACTGTCCCCACCACCACTGCACCCTCCACTGTCCCACTGTTTCCACCGCGTTCCCACGGTCCCCACACCACTGTCCACACCGCCGTCCCCACCACTGTCCCCGTGTCCCCACTGTTCCCACCATTGTCCTCACCACTGTCCCCACCACTACCGTCCCCACCACTGTCCTACTGTCCCCACCACTGTCCCGCTGTCCCCTCGCCACTGTCCCCGCCACCACCTACCCCACCACTGTCCGCACCCCCCTTGGTTTTCGAGGGGGGGCGGGGGGGGCGGGGTCGAACCGGTAGTGACCCCCCCCGGTCTTCGAGGGGGGGGGGGGGATTCGGTAGTGACCCCCTCCCTTTTCATGATGGTGTGGGGGTGGGGGGGGTGGGGTTCGAACCGGCAGTGCACCCCCCTCGTTTTCCGGAGGGGGGGGGGGTCGAACCGGTAGTGGCCCACCCCGATTGTTCGCCAGCAGCGGTAGAACACGCTCATTCTCATTTGAACGCTGGACGTGAGCCCTGTGCTCTCGCCCAAAGGGCACGCTGTCCCTGCAGGGGCAACCCTCGCTGCGGGCACGAATCTCCCTGGAGGGCGCCCTCAGGGGCCCGAGGCGCGCGCCCCGCCCACCACCCCTCGGAGGACGATGGGGGGGGGGGCGGTGGGAGCAGTTCGGGCCTCCTCCTCAGGGATTCGTGCCCCTGGGAGCCTCCCGCTCTGCAGGAGTTCCTGGTACCTCGTACTGTTCGACCATGCGCGCGAGCTCACGCCTCTCGTCAGAGGAGTCGCTCGTCGTCTACTCGAATTGCCCCGCCCGGCCCCGACCCAACTCCCCCGTCCACGGTCGAATTCGCTAGGCTGCTGACTAGATGCTGCTGATGCTGCTGCTGCCATGCCGCTGGCAATATTTACCGATGATGCTGCGCTAACACGCGCGGGCTCAACATTCGTTCTGTTTAGAAAAAGGGCCGAACAAACACTTGGTTACTCATTGCATCCCCTTCTGGGCCTCCGTGCCCCCCCCATCGCTGCGTCGCCTACTCGCAAAACGACTTCCCCTTTCCCCTGGGCCTCGATAGTGCGGGCAACCTCCCTCTCGAGCGGGCCGCGGGGAGCGGCCCCTGTCTTGTGCGCTCCGTTGAGCGCGGCCATCGTCTTCCGGATCGGCTGGCGCAGGTTGGTCGCGTGCTCGTGGTGCGGGTCCAGGGCCCAGAGGGCCCCCACCTCCGGCTCGTCGGCGTTCTCTTTCTTGCCCTTGTTCGGTCGCCAACGGCAGTGGGGGGCCAGCTCGGACATCTGCTGGGGCGTAAGACTTCATCGCGACGGCCTCCCAGAACTCGCGCCGCCCGTTCGCCGGATCGCCCTCTAGCACGTTCGCGGCCCAGAGGGCCCGCGGAGAAGATCTGCGCGTGTGGCGGGCCCCGCGAGCCCCAGTCGATGCTCTTGCTCTGCGCGTCGCGCTTCTTTCCTGCCTCGCGGAAGGACTCGGGCATGCCGTTGGCGACGTCGGCGACGTCGAATGCGGTGAAGACCGCGCCGATCACCTCCGCGATGGCGCGGCTGTCGGCGAGCGCCAGGCGCGCCAGCGCGTAGAGCAGCCCCTTTTCGCCCTCGAACTTTGCCCCCCCGCGTGCGCCTTCTTGGAGGCGGCCGGCCCTGCCAGGGGCGGGTACTCGCGCGGCTGCTTCATCCAGGCTGGCATCGCGGCGCCAGCCGCGCTCGTTGTCTTGGTCTGGCAAGGCCGACTGGGTAGGGCGCTCAAGAAGATGCCGGGCAATATGGCCACAGAGGTCGGGCAGGTCGGGCCCCGCGAACTCGCGCATCGGACGCGCTATGCTCGATGGTGTTTGAACGTCGTGGCATTTCGTCGGCCCCATGGCACTGCGCGCGCCGTCGGTGACCGACTGCGATAAGCGACGGCCAGCGAGGATCTTGGAGGCGAGCGACCTGCAACATTAAATGCACTTGTTCGTAGGCGAGAGTAAGTGGCCTAGATTTCGAACTCTGCGTCGATGCCGAACATGTTTCAGCAAATCTCGCTTAGCTCGAAAAAAAAGCGCATGCGTTTTCTCCATCGGGCCAGTCGCACTTCCACTATAAGGCGCCTCTTCAACGACCTCTGGCACCGCTGGGGCGCGCTCGGGCGGGGGCGCGGCCGCGCGGAGCTCGCGCGCTCGCAGCTCGGCGAAATCAAGCCAACGGAATAATGTAGCCACTTGTGGGTCCGAGAACCCCCAAAGGATTGCCCGCGCTGCGCGCCGGCAGATCAGGTTCCATCTGAGCAGCAGCCGGGCGGAAGTCGCCCTGAACTCGTTTGGCCCAGGGAGAACTTCGACAGTCTTGGGTAGACCGTCGGCAGGCACGGGCGGCCCCCGATCCCTCGTTCGAGCTCGATCTTGCCAAACAGGGGGCAGAGCACGTGGGCGTTGTCCTTTGGGTGTTTGCTGCAGTCCTGATGCTATCGCAATCGTCGAACTCGCATTTCGATCCCGCATCGGGCGATCTTCCAAAACTTGAGAACCTGACCGTTCGTCCGTGTGCAGATCTTCGTCTGAGCCCCCTTCCCCCTGTCCGCTCTCCTCCTTCGTTCCTCGGCCGCGACGGGGGGCGCAGGCAAGGCTGGCAAGGCGCGAGTCCATGCCCTGGTGCTGGGCAGCGGAAACGGCGAGCGCCTATCAACCGCTCAGCATCGCATTCTGGGCCATGCTAATAAACGCAGCGCGCGTCCATTTCCGCGGAACCGAACGCCCCCAGAAGCCACTCATGCGGTATAACCCACTCGAAGCTGCTTCGAGACGCCTCTGAACTTCCGAAGACGAGATGCAAGCAAGGTTGACACGCGGGCCCAGGTACCTAACTTCCTCGTGGAGACTGCCCCCGAGTTCTCTTACAGCGCGTTCCCGGACCCAT